TTAATTAATCAATTACAACAAAAACAACAATCATTAAGAAATTCAACTATTGTTGCTATGTCGAATTTACTTGCTGCAAATATTGAAAGTGGTTTAATGAGAAGTATTGGTAAGTTAAAAAGACTTTTCATTGAATATAATAAATAAATAAATTTCTTTAGCATTGGGTTATCATCGTGATCCACAAACTCGAGCAGCATTTATGGAAGTTTTAACACAAATTCTTCAACAAGGAACTGAATTTGATACACTTGCTGAAACTGTACTTGCTGATCGATTTGAACGACTTGTTGAACTTGTTACTATGATTGGAGATAAAGGAGAATTACCGATCGCAATGGCATTAGCAAATGTTGTTTCACCACAATATATGGTTAGTTATTTCATTCAGGGTGTGGGCAATAGGTTAATATACATCACCCATCCTTCAGAAATAAGGGACGACTAAGGACTTAAAGGTCATTAGGTGTTTTTCATACGAACATAAGTTGCACATTTTTAGCCCTAATGAAGCTGTGCTGATAAGTTTTTTTCGTTACTTTATTCTTCATCGAAATAAATTTTTTTTCTCAATAGGATGAATTAGCACGAGTATTTGTAACAATATTTGATGCTAAACATTTACTTCATCAATTATTATTGAATATGTTTGCCAAAGAAGTTGAATTAGCTGATTGTTATCAAATAATATTACGTGGAAATGGTTTACCAACAAAAATAATGTTATTTTGTTTTAAACTTTATGGTTCACATTATTTATATAATTTATTTGCACCAATATTAGCAAAAATGTTTATAGCAGATTTACGTTCGTATGAAGTTGATCCAACACGTATTGAACAACATGAACAATTAGATGAAAATAGAAAAAATTTACGTTTATTAACACAAGATGTCTATCAAGCTATTGTTGATTCATCATCACAATTTCCACTTCAATTAAGAATCTTATGTTCATGTTTATATCAAGTTGTACAACAACGTTTTCCTCAACATCCTTTACAAGTATTTTCTTCTTTTTTTTTTTTTCGTAAAAATAAATTTTTTCTTTCAAGGCTGTATCAACTGTAATATTTCTTCGTTTTTTAAATCCTGCACTTGTTCTACCACATGAATTCGGTATTGTTGATGCTGAACCATTACCACGTATAAAACGTGGTTTAACACTTGTTTCGAAAATTCTTCAAAATATTGCGAATAATTTAATATTTACAAAAGAATTTCATATGCGTTGTTTTAATGATTATCTTCGTTCAACATTTGATTTAACAACAAATTTTGTTTTATCAATAAGTGAACCAATTAATTTCAATACAATTATGCCATCGGATGAACAACAACCAATTGAAAATAATCATATACCTGATTCAACAATACTTTCACCAACATATCCAATGTCATATATAAGTGATGCAAATGTTTTAGCATTACATAGACTTCTTTGGTATCATCAAGAAAAAATTGGTGATTATTTATCAAGTGGACGTGATCATAAAGCGATTGGAAGACGACCATTTGATAAAATGGCAACATTATTAGCTTATTTAGGTCCACCTGATCATCGACCATTAGATTCACAATGGATTTCATATGATATGACAGCAACAAAATTTGAAGAACTTATGGCTAAAACACAAATGCATGAAAGAGAAGAATTCAAATCATTAAAAGCTTTAAATATATTCTATCAAGTTAGTTCTTTTCTCATAGGAAAAAAACTGATTTTGTTTAGACATAATCTTAATCCTACTAATCCTGAAAGCACTTATGTACATAAAAATAGTTTGAATCAAATCAACTAAGTGTTTACATAATTCATTTACGAGATTAGCACCAAAAGGAGATCGAGATGGACTTAAGAACACGCAGTTCTAGTGGCGTAACCAGGGTATGACATGGGTTAGCACCGCCTACCCACTCGTCAATTTCTGATTACGCCATTACATAGTTCACATAGAGTTGTCCCCACCGGAGGATCTTTGATAGCAGAATATGACCCTCTCAATCTTGAAAATAGGAACCCAATACTCAGATACGATTATCGTATTTATGTAGATTCTGTACAAAAACTATAGATGAAACTAATCATATTTTTTTTTCTCTAGGCTGGTTTTAGTAAACAAAATAATCCTGTATTTTATTATATTGCACGTCGTTTTAAAGTCAATGAAATGAATTGTGATTTATTAATCTATCATGTTCTATTAACATTAAAACCATTTCAAGCAAAACCATTTGAATTAATTATTGATTTTACTCATACATGTACTGATAATCGTTTTAAAACAGATTATTTATCGAAATGGTTTATTTGTATGCCCGATTGTTTTTATTATAATCTTCAAGCATGTTATATTTATAATTGTAATTCATGGGTAAGAGAATATACAAAATATCATGATAGAATATTATCAACAATAAAAGGTACACGAAAATTAATATTTCTTGATCATATATCACGTTTAAATGATTTTATTGAATTTGATCAACAAAAATTACCTGGACATACATTATCATTAGAAGAAGATCTTCGTGTATTTAATAATGCATTAAAATTATCACATAAAGATACAAAAGTTGCAATTAAAGTTGGTCCACAAGCAATACAAGTAACATCAAGTGAAAAAACTAAAGTTCTTGGTCATAGTGTTTTACTGAATGATGTTTATTATGCATCTGAAATTGAAGAAGTTTGTCTTGTTGATGATAATCAATTTACATTAACAATAGCAAATGAAACTGGTCCATTATCATTTATTCATAATGATTGTGATAATATTGTTCAATCTATTATTCATATTCGTACACGTTGGGTAAATTTCTTTTTTTTTGTAATTATATTAAATAAAATAGTTTAATTTTTTTTGTAAAGGAACTTGCTCAACCTGATTCCATTCAAATTCATAATAAAATTCGTCCAAAAGATGTTCCTGGAACATTATTAAATATTGCATTATTGAATTTAGGTTCACTTGATCCATCATTACGTTCAGCCGCTTATAATTTATTATGTGCATTAACACAAACATTTGATTTACGTATTGAAGGTCAATTACTTGAATCATCCGGTCTTTGTATACCATCAAATAATACCATATTTATAAAAACAATATCAGAAAAATTAGCATTAAAAGAAGCACATTTAACATTAGAATTTTTAGAAGAATGTATTGAAGGTTTTAGAAATTCAACAATTGAATTAAAACATCTTTGTTTGGAATATATGACAAAATGGTTACCTAATTTAACAAGATTTTGTAAACAAAATGATGATAATAAACGAATGAAAGTCTCCATGATACTTGATAAATTAATAACATTAACAATTGAAGAGGATGATATGTATCCATCAATACAAGCTAAAATTTGGTCAAATATTGGACAAGTTAGTGATTTATTAGATATTGTTTTAGATTGTTTTATTAAACGATCTGTACTTGGCGGTCTTGGATCTGTTCAAGCAGAAATTTTAGCTGATACAGCTGTTGCATTAGCGAGTTCAAATGCATTATTATTTTCACGAAAAGTTATTGGACGTCTTTGTCGTTTAATTGAAAAAACATGTCTATCACCAACACCAACATTAGAACAACATTTAATTTGGGATGATATTGCTATTCTATTAAGATATTTATTAATGCTTTCATTTAATAATTCACTTGATGTTGCATCACATTTACCATTTTTATTTCATATTGTTACATTACTTGTTAGTACAGGACCATTAACATTACGGGCATCAACACATGGTCTTGTTATAAATATTTTACATGCGTTATGTACATGCTCACATCCACAATTCAGTGATGAAACACAACGTGTACTACGTTTATCATTAGCTGAATTTTCTCTACCAAAATTTTATGCTTTATTTGGTTTATCAAAAGTTAAATCAGCAAGTGTAATTGCATTTCGTACAGGTATTATAAGACAACAGCAACATTCAAGTCATCTATTATCATCAGATAAACAACAAAATGAACGTTCACTGATGATGACAAATATGTATTCACCATCAATTGAACAATCGGAACGAATGAGTTTAACATCACTTGAAACAATAACAGATACATTATTAGAATTAATGGAAGCTTGTATGAATGATATACCTGATTGTGAATGGTTAGCACAATGGCAAGAATTAGCTAAACGTTTTGCTTTTCAATTCAATCCAGCTTTACAACCAAGAGCTATGTAAATAATTCTCCTCTTTTGTAAATTCTTAAGTTCATTTTCTTTTTTAGTATTGTCTATGGTTGTATATCAAAAACAACAAGTGATGGTGAAATCAAAGTTCTATTACGTATTCTTGTTAAAGCACTTGAATCATTTTCTGATATTGATTTAATTGATGCTATTATTATGTGTTTAACACGTTTATTACCATTACTATCACCGGAATCTAAAATACATAAATTTATGTTTTGGATATCAATATCAATATTACAATTACATCAAACACAATTATATGCATCTGGTTTAGCTTTATTAGAACAAAATCTTCATACACTTGATCATATGTTAAGTTTATTTGAAAATACAAGTACGCATCAACAACAAACTTTAGAAAAAATTATGATGGATGCACGTGAACCATTAGAATGGCAATTTAAACAATTAGATGCTAGTATGGGTTTATCATTTAAATCAAATTTTAATTTTGCTCTTGTTGGACATCTGATTAAAGGTAAAAGAAGAAAAAAAAGCATGCACGTTTATTTCTATTATATTAATTTTCCATTTGCATTAAGCAATGGATATTGTTTATCATCACTATTTTTACTTTCAACAGGTGGTTGAATATAAGCACATCCACTCCAATTTTCATTGATTGTATTATTATTTGTTGTACCATGAATACAAAGATAATATGGCATTGATAATACAGCTAATTCAATTTGATCAACACGAATAGAAATACTTGAGATAAGACCTAAATTACGTGTAGCACCTGGTAAAACATAACTACGTTGACCAAAATAATTTAATTCTCCATTTGAATATAAACGATACCATGCACTAATTGTACCATCACGAGCTGTTAAACGAATTGATAAACCTGTATCATTTTGACTAGAAAAATTAAATGAATTAAGAATATACAAAAAATTTCTTAAATAATTTTACCTCATTTTTGAAGAAAATACTTCACCAGCTGTTAAAAGCACATCAACAGTATAAAAACTTTCATTATTATTATCATCATCAACAACCACCTTCACTGTATTGTTCGTAGATACTGTTGTATTGATTGCTATTGAAACAGCCACAATACAGCCAAAGAAAAATATAAGAAAATGTTTCATATTGATGATTAAATCAATTTGTTTGAAAGATGAAATTTGCGTTGTTTATATATACACTGAGAATGGAATGTTATCTTTGAACTAAAAATTAGATGAATACCATTTTGAATGATTGATAATACATTATTTTGAAATTTATTTTTAGGTTTCCGACATCCAGTACAATCAACCGTTGTTCGGACAACTCGTGTACTTTCTGCTCTTCTTAGTATTGTTGCAAAATCTGAATCTCATGATAAATTTAAAGTTACGCCTACATCGATACCATATTTAGCAGCATTAGTTAGTGTTGTTGAAGAAGTTCGTACACGTTGTCCAGTTAAAAATCGATCTAATATCATTCCAACACCGACATCTACAAATACGAATAATATAACATTATCATCATCATCGAATATGAATCCTGTTTCACATATACCACAATCAAATTCCAGTACATCATTTAATGATATAATGAATTCGACTGGTTCAACGCCACTTAATATTCAACAAGCAGCTTTTAATCGACGATTAAAACCTTGGGATTCATCTTATATGGATAAAACAAAAAAAGTCGGTGGTAGTGTATCAACAATGAATAATTCACGTTTATTAGGTATTCTACCACATGCTCGATATTATCAACCAAGTGATATTGACAATGTTATACCAAGAATTGTACCAAAACCACCTTCAACACATATGAAATTACAAGAAACTAAACAATCAATACCAACTATTACAGTTGCACCACATATTTTACCTGACACACAACAAACATCACAAGTAAATATCAGGAATTCTAACAAATCTCAAGTATTATTTCAAACCACCTTTGAGACTTTTGATTATTTAAGAAAGGAATTAGTACCGATATCAATATCGGGAAAAAAATATATTCTCTAGGAATGTTTAATAAGAAGCCTTAACGGATGATATTTAAAATTTTTCTGGTTAAAAATATGATGAGAGAAACCCAATGTACTTTTGAAAAATATACAATGATTTTTAAGTGTTTATTTTCGAAAAACACTTTACTTTAAAATAACTTCCTGGTGAAAAAAACATTTTTTTTCTGAAATATGGCATTCATTAGAAAAACACTTCAGTTTATTTGAAAAACATGTTTTAGTACTATTTATCATTAGTTGATATATAATTATGAAATTATGTAAAATATATTTTAAAAGTACAATGCTTAAAAATAGTTTAATTGATTTTAGGTAATTGGTGAAACAAATCTTTTATTAGATCCAAATGTATTAACAGATACATCAACACAAGCACTATTATTAACAGTATTAGCAACACTTGTACGTAATACATCTGATGAAAATGAAATGAGAATATTATATGAATATTTATCGGAATCAAGTATTGTATTTTCGAAAGTCTTTCCAGTTATACATAATTTATTAGATGCAAAAATAAATTCTGTTCTTTCATTATCACATGATGAATCTATATTAGCATCTGTACAAGCAGTAATCTATCAAATGATTGCTTGCTCAGCCGGTGATGATGCTAGTCAACAACAACAACAACTTAGCTATTTACAATCATGTGGTTTTGGAGGTTTATGGCGTTTTGCTGGACCATTTACAGTATCAAGACAAAATCCTGATAATGTTGAATTATTTGTTAATTGGTTAGAAGCTATGGTTGAAACATGTTTGCCATCATTAGATGAACATGAAGATGGTTCAGGAAATAGTGGTATTGGAAGTGGATCAACAGGAAATTATGGAACACGACATGCATCTTTACAACATCATCATAATTTTCGACATCATCATCATTATTCTGCATCATCAGCTGCAGCTTGTCTCAATGCTAATCTATCTTCATCTATGTCAAGTGTTTCAATGGGTATGATTATATATAAAGATTATTATTTATTTAGTTATTTTTATATTAAATATAGATTCAATTCGTTCACCATCAGATCGTGATGCACAATTTTTTGATTTAAATGATCTTAATCGACCTACACAATCTCATTCATTAACAAGCAATTATGAACGATCTCGTATAACTCAAAAACCAAATCTTATTTAAAATAATTTAATTGTTGTATATTCCATTCATTTTTTAATGTTGTATATTATTGTAATTATATATTAATCCTATTATTTTTTTCTTTCTCTCTCTCTCAATGTAGTAATTTCAATGTTAAAATAAATATGCTTGGAAATAATAAATAAATATATATATATGTATATCGTTATAAATCTATATATTTTTTCTTGTTATTCTAGCAATTATGTCTACAGGTGTTTATCAACCATACATATTTGTAAAAAAAGATAACAAATCATTCTTAAATGAACCTGTCGCATCAGATTCTGATAAAGGAGTATTTGTAGTTCTTGATCATCTTATGGGTTCACGTCGAAAATGGACAGGTATTAATAATCGTTTACTTCCAAGTGATGAAACAGGAAGAATACCAGGTATGGGTACTGCTGGTGTGGCAAAAGAAGAATTACGTGTCAAAAGATTTATGGAAAGTTGTACATTCAAAGCAATTATTAGTTGTGCTGGAGGTATTTTATTGATTTAAATTTACATAATTCATAATTTTGTTTGTTTTTCTTCAAGGTTTTGTATTGGGTATTGGTCTTGGTGTATTTACAGCAAGTATTGATCCAATGTCAACAATTCATACAACAACACCAGGTGCATCACCGACTATAAAAGATGTTTGGCGTGAAATGCGTGCTAGATCAATGAGTTATGCAAAAAATTTTGCAGTTGTTGGCTTAGTATTTAGTACAGTTGAATGCAATATTGAATCTGTATGAGGAATGCTTTCTTTTTTGAAAAAAATAATTAAATAAAAATTCGAATATTTTAGTATCGAGCTAAATCTGATATTCGAAATGGTACGTATGCTGGTTTTGTTACAGGTGGTTTATTAGGATTTCGCGGTAAATTTTTTGGATAATAAATTATTTTTAAAACTTGCTTTTTTTTATAGCTGGTCTTCAAGCAGGTCTTTTTGGTGCTATTGGTTTTGCTGCTTTTTCTACAGCTATTGAATACTACCTTATACACTACCATTAGAATATATCATGTTTGTTTTTTTGTTATTTAATAAAATTAGAAGAAAAGAAAAAAAGACCTACTTCTATATTATTTTTTTTTAATCGTAAAAGTACGATCTTTTTTTTCTTCTTTACTTTGCGTAAAAGTACATTCATGTCTGCACTTATGATGCCCTTTTTTCTTCCATTCTGATTTATTTAAAGAACATTGAGAGCGTTGGATGTTTGAAGTAGTTTTTCCATTATTTTTGCGTTCTGTTTGCATTGAGCTAGAGAGTCTATATAAAAAGAAATACACCTTTCAATTGATCATTCGATTGTCTTAGTTAGAAGAAGAATTATTCAATGGAGATCATAATATATTATCTATTATGTTTGATAGCACGAAAAAAAATTATTACAAATGTATTGTATTTTATTGGAACACTTGTATTTGTTTCATTTAGTTATAATACAGGTAAGAATTTATAATATGTAAATTAGTTGAAACTATTAATATTTAAAATAATGTAGCTAATCAGCTTTCGAAATTTCCAATTGGAACTCAATCAAAATTTTCAAAATCTTACCAAAATGTTACTCAAATATCAAATAATTCAATTGATTATGAAAAACGAATACAATCTTTAAATAATCAATGTGATAATAGAAGTCATTTATTTACTAATCTAATTCATCAAAATAAAATCTTAAATCATCTTGGATTTGTTCTTCGATCTCATTCATTATTTTATTGTTCAGTACCTAAAGTAGCTACACGAACATTACTAACATATATGACATATCTTCATATACGTGATGAAATCATGCCTTCATTAGCAAATAAATCTGCAATATCTTTCAAAGCTGATTATCTCAATCAAATGCTTTCATCTGCAATAAAGGTAATATTAAATGATGATGATTTTTAGAGTGAAACGTCTATCTTAGACATAAAATAGAACTTCAAAGACTACCCTAGTCGAACTTGTTTTTTGCACGCGCATAGGATTCTTGAATTTCTTAAGCAAGATTGTCATGCGCTACGAACACATTTTGAAATCTTTCTTAGCATGTGGATAATAAGAAAAATTTTATATGAAAAAAACATCCAAACCGAACATTTTTGTTTGTTTTATAAATGAGTATTATTTGAAGAGAAAACATTCTTACCTATACTGAAAATTTTCATAATTTGTTTTGTGCACATGCGCATGTGATTCTTGAGCGACATTGTCATGCGCTATGGACACATCTTGAGGTCGCGTCTTGTCAAGCACTTGAAAAAAAGTTCGACTAGGGTAATTATTTTAACTTCATTTGAAATCAATATAATAAATTGGAAGGCTCTAAGATGTATACAATTAGACATATTATTTAATTTTGAGATAGATTTATTAACTTTACGCTTCCGTGTAGTACTTGAGCTAGTTGACCAGACACAATCTCCAAGCCTCAAGAGAAAAGTTTTGATTTCTCCCAACATAATACATGAAGTATTTTCATTCCGTTTTATAAGAAATATCTGTCGATTGTTAAGAATTTATTATTTAAATTTTAGAATGATTCAATGTCACTTCTTTCATTATTTCTATCACATTTGACAATGACAACTAATAAATCGAATTCAACTCAACTTGATCTTTGGTCAATGTATCAAAAAACAGCATTACCTTATGTTCGTCCACGTACATTGTCTGATTCTTCAATACTTTTTTCAAAATCATTTACACGTATTATATTTGTTCGTCATCCATTCGAACGTTTAGCATCAGCTTATGTCGATAAAATAGCAACATTAAGTTCTGAACCATTTTCAATATATGATAATCTTCGTCGTAAAATTTGTCGAAAATCTCCGTTTTTTTATTTAACATCAAACGAACAAAATTATTATCGTACGTTTAGAATGGTTCACAATCAAAGAAATGAACCATGCGATAAAATTATACCAACATTTGAACATTTTGTTACTTATATAATGTTTGATTCATCACAAGTCGATGTTCATTGGCAACCATATTCAACTTTATGTCATGCATGCACAATGAAATATAATTTTATTGGTAAATATGAAACAATTCAAGAAGATCTTGATTTACTCCGAGTACAACTTGGTTTAAATACAACTAATTGGAATATAAAAAATAATTTTTCAACTGGTAAAACAAAAGAAAATTATAAATTATTGTATTCAAAATTACCAAATCATTTAATATGTAATTTAAAACATTTTTATCAAGAAGATTTTAAATTATTTAATTATCAAGTAGAAGATTATTTGATAGACAATCAAAAAGTACAATGTTCTTCACAATCTTATCGACGTTTTACAATATGAACTTAGTCAAATAATTGTAATATTTCTCGTCGAATTTTGTTGTGAAATTGTAAATTATTTCATTTATTTTTTATTTGCAAAACTATTTCTGATATTTAAATTTGTCTCAATTCGAAATAAAATTTAAGCAAAAATCATTTGAATTATTATGATTTGAGTTTATAACTGATCGAGTTATTCATGATAATAATGAGAAGCTATTTTTGTTTTTAGGAATTACATAAGATGCTGGGTTAAAAAAACTGAGCTCGAAATTTGGAGTTTACGACTTTGCGGCATTTCAACAAATTCCAACGTTTAACTCCATGTTTTTTTCTTGAATAACATCGGTCGATTCAGAGTAACCAAGAGTAGTTCTATGAGCAATCAGAAACAGACGGTTCACAAGTCCTGAGCTAAGATTTTCGTTGAAAACTAGACATCCGTAAACTCCAAATTTCGAGCTCACTTTTTTGACCAAGATGCTGATGATTTTATTTAATATAAGATTTCTATAATTTGCTAGATGGTTTGTTCATTGTAGGAAAAACAGAAATATTATTCATCATTTATTCAAGCATTTTGTAAGATAAGTACAATATCGATAGTTGATTTTTACTGAAAATGAATATATAAACTTTTTACAGATCTAACTCTGTGAAACTTGAATTCTTATCAAAGAAAAACTGTTAGCTTTTTATTTGAATATTCCTATCTTAATCATTCTTTATAAACTGACCTTGTTGATTCAATCTAGCTCAAATTTCATTCACTATTAAGTATAAAAGCTTCTCAATTCCATTACATCTGTGTATCATAATTATATCGGAAGATAACTTTTCTAATGTACATGTGTAGTAATTTCTCTTGAACTGCAATAAATATTTTAATATTCAAATGAGAATATATGTATGCAATAATTTCAAGATAGTAATGAAGAAAAGGTGATAGTAAATCAGTTATTTTAACAAAATATATTATTATTAGTTACATGAGCAATCGTCTGCTCATTACAACATGAAACAATGAGACATAACGGAGAAATGAATTAAAAATTTTCGCTGTACATAACTGATCAATCGTCAGACATATTGCGTGTAATTGTTATGAAAAGAGCACGAAATAGTGTATAGACATAAAATGAACTATGTGAAACAGTCGGTCAAAGGTCACTCGATAATTATCAACAACATATTTTTTCAAGAAATAGTTCAAGTACGGTCTCTAATTTGGTATACAAAAATTAATATTCGTCAAAGAGTACAAGTAATAAGAATGTCACAGATAATTTCATTGAGAAGTATAGTAAATTGCGTTTTCATTCATGACGTCTACTATTTATCGTACAGTGATCAATGATACGGAAAGAAAAAGAGTAGTGACTATTGTACTATAATAAATCAATGAATGACCTTGAAGTATACTCTCATACAATAATTGTAAATACGTAGAAAAATAGAGAAATTCATATTGTATCATCATAAATATTTGAAATAAAAATAGAAACAAAGAAAAACATCAATAACAAGTTAGTACAACTTGTATTTATTCGATAATTCTTATTGTGTATATGTATATTGCGTCTTTGTTTTTTTTTCTGAAATTCTTATTTATATCTCTTTCACTGCAGCACTATGTTATCAACTATTTATTCTAAAACGAGAATAAATAAATTACTAATACTATACACTGAAATTCTATACAAAAAAATAACAAAAAAAAACATGACTATTTGATGTTTAATTTTATGTATGAAGAAGAAATTGTATGAAATCATCATAATTAATTGAACCGGTTTTATTTGGATCAGCTTGACTAATCATATCATCAGCTTCATCTTCTGTTAATTCAGTATCATATAACTAAATAGAATTTCAAATAATAAATTCAATAAAAATCTTTTCTCGTCTCTTACACGAACAAATCGTTTCAATTCATTTGCATTAATTGTACCATTACCATCTTTATCAAAAACTCGAAAAGTCGCACGAAGTTCTTCTTCTAAATCCTGTTGATTAATAGGCGTAGTCATAATTGATATAAATTCTCTCATATCAATTCCACCGGAATGATCTTCATCAGCTGATCCAAGCAATAATTGTGCTTCATTCTCTACTAGCGTCATATCTTTAAAAAAAATTCAAGAAATAATATTACAAAATAACATCTCATTTTTTTGAGTACCTGCAGCTTGTGCTACTTGATTAATATCATCAGCTGCTACAAAACCTTTTGATTGTGCATCCATAATACTAAAGGCAGCTTGAAAATCTTGTATTTTTTCTGCTGATAATTCAATTGGTAATGATAAATTTTGAGCTCGTGTTCCGCCTGATAATTCATTTTCATTACTCATTATCTGAAGAGATATTTGAATTAGGAAAAAAATAACAAAACGAATTTTCATATTTTAGTACTTGACTTTTCCAACTCATTATTTTCCAAATAAATATCTCGCATACTACGCACACTCACAAACGTATAATTGAAAAAGAAAAAGATGAGTAGAGAACAGCATCAGCACTTTAGTCGTGATTTCAAAAACAGAAGACGAAAAAGAATAAAAGAAAAGAAAAATCTTTCGATTTCGTAAAAGAAATAAAAAAAAATTTCTCAATACAACAACACATACATCATAGGAAAAAAAACGAATTATATAGAAACAGTTCAATGTATGTATGTGTGTTGGAATGCAAATGCTTGTTTAATTATTATTTAATCGCTTGTAAAACTCCATTGACTCGTTTTGATGTTATTTGACCGTCTTCTTCGACGATTTCTGTTGTTTGTCCATTTTCTTCCACTCTAAAGAAAATTTTTCAAGTAAAATAAAAAGATGGCTTTTAATTTACCGTGTAGTAGTTATACGTCGACCATTGACTATTTTAGTTGATTTTGAAGTTTTTTTTGATATTGGTCGAGCACCATTACCACTTCTAGATAGAAATATAAAATTGAATATGTGGTTTTTTGTTTTGTTAGAAGTAAACAACTATACAAACCCAAATGAAATATTAAATGATGATATTGTTCCCGGATTATCTCCGCCCAAATCACCGGCAAATGAATGATGATGATCGAACAAAGACATTCTCATTGGAGAAAAGAAATTATCGAACAAAGCCATTTGGTGTGGTGCACGTCTTGATGTGGAAGAATTTGGATCACGACTACGACGACGATGTAAATCGGCAAATGGATGCATTGGAAAACCTACAAAAGCAAAATAAATAATCAATTATATTTGAATATTTTCATAAAAAAGACTATTAATTAGAGTTATTCTAGATATAATTCTACTAAACATTCCCAATTAGCTCATGCGCTATTCAAGCATCATTCGAGGAAAAATAAAAATAGAATAAACAATAATATTTTATTTTTATCCATCTGGTATTCTCACCAGAATGATATACACAACGTGTATATATGTCTAAAATAATACGCAATAAGCTCAAGCTTGCGCTTGTATAGCTCGAAAAGAATGCATTTTTTTTTAAAATAAAAATCTTTTTAACTTACCAAAATCATCTTCCATACCAAAATGTGACATAAACTGTTCAAAGATATCAAACGGATTGTGAAAATGAAATTGTCGATTAAGAAAATCTTCGGAAAATCTTGAATAACCATCACTGGATGAAAAACCACCACTACTACCACTATTACCATTTGATAAACCTGCTTTACCCAAGTGATCATATCGTCGACGTTTCTCTTCTGCAAATTATGTTAAAAATCCAATTGTTATTAAAATATATACATATATACATATACATATATTAGTTAGGAGCATAATTAGAAAAAAATAATATAGCAGCAGCAGCAGTAATAGTCGTCATTTCTAATCCTTCTACAATTTCCCCATGTTTTTATTTTCTACGATTTCCTACCTTTACTTTTTTCTTTGAATACTGGTTTATTATTAATCGCTGCTTCATTTTTATGACGTATACTACGTCTAATACTTTTTAATGGTGATGTTAATTTAGAAGTATTATCCAAAAGACCATCATTTAAAGTTGGCGATGGACGTTTATCTCCTAGATCTGTTTGACTACTCATATGTCTCATAGATTTAACTCGACGAAGATTAGCACTTGCACTAACGGGATAATCATCAAGTGTTTCATAACTAATAAGACGAAAATCTTGATATTGATTTTCAGCTGTTTTTGTATTTGGAATTTCAAGTAATTCAATTGATTTAATATTATTTGGAATTCTATCACCACCAAGTGCAACTGCTGATGATATAATACCTTGTTGTCCAAGTATTAAAAGTTTATCACGTTCATCTTGGTTTGGAATCGGTTGAGAAATAATATTATCAACCAATGTACATGGTTTACGTAAAAAACAATTTAAATTACTTCGTGGAAATTCAATATCATCAATACGATGACGAGGTATTTGTTCTTTTGATTGTGGAATTAATGTTGGTGCTTGAACAAATCTTGCACGATTAACTTCTTGTATACGAGATGATTGATTTGTAATAGGATTGAAATTTTCTAATGTAGCTGCAAAACGTGCAGCTTCTAATTGTTCTTCAACAATTCGAGCTAAAGCAGCGGAATCAAATTCACGTGTTTCATTTGTTGATGATATTGTTGTACGTCTTCGTGGTTCAACATATGTCTGTCGACGTTTTATAGTAGGTTTTTTCGGTTGCATTGCAGGTTTAGGTAGAGTTATATCAGGTTGTTGCTGCTGTTGCGGTGGTGGTGCTTGTTGTGGTGGTGGTGCTTGTTGTTGTTGTTGTTGTTGTTGTTGCTGCTGCTGCTGTTGCTGTTGTTGTTGCTGTTGTTGTTGTTGCTGTTGTTGTTGTTGCTGTTGTTGTTGAGAATGACGCACAAAATCATGCATTTTAACAAGACGATCAATATCATTTGATAAATTTAAATTTGAAAAACGATTATTTTTAGTTTCATTTTCTTCTGGAATAATATTAATATATCTTTTAACAAATTTTAAATCTGAATTCTCTCTATCAACTTGAAAATCATAATAAACAGACATATTTATTTCATGAACAACACGTGGTTTTAATTCACTTTCATTTTCAGTTGTTGCAGCTATTTCTTCATAATCATTTTTATTTGTTGAAAGAATAAATGATGGTAAATCTTCTTTATCAAAAGTTTCATGTTGTTCAAATTCTTTTTGACAAACATTTAGAAATTCTTCATCATCAATTATTGTACGAAATAATTCTTCTAATTCTTCATTTGTTCTTTCGCTATAAATAATTGATGAACCCAATTGATCATATAAAAATCGTCCACGACCTGTTTATGTATGTATTAGGGGAAAAAAAGAAACGACTACTGCTGATGCTGCTTTTGGAAAAGCAAGAAAAGCTTTGTTTTTTTTATTTTTATTTTTTCTACTCACTGTCAGATAAAACTTCATATGCTTCAGATATTAGTTTAAATTTTTCTTCCGCTTGACTTTTATTTGAAAGATTTTTGTCTGGATGCCACTAAAATTTTCTTTATTTTAATACATATCAATATAGACAAAAAAACACAAGATTTTACCTTTAAAGCTAATCGACGATATCTAAAAATAGGATATATAATTTAATTAAAAGATTATTATCTAGACAAATATAACATACGCTTTCTTGATTTCATCTTCGGTGGCGGTCTTTTCGACCTCAAGTATTTCGTAAAAATCGGTCATTGATAGAATTTACTAAGAACAAAAAATTCAAAAGAAAATAAATCAAATAATTATTTACAAAAGGTCTTTATTTCTCATTACGCAGTGGTTGTCTTTCTTTTACTCGTCTAATATACTTTATTGTCCATGTCTTTTCTTTTTTTCTCTTCTTCTTCTTCTCCTGCTCCGAAAGCAAACGAGCGCCCGCGCTTCGTATATTTTAGACTAACTAACTATGTGCATTATGTATGTAAAGAAAGAAAAAAGAAAACAAAAAACGACGAAAGACAGTCAACGTCGTTTTTATTATGACGCTCTGTCTTACAATGATCATCCTTGTTGCAATTGACTGCTCTTCAAAGTCTACCTTGAACTGCTTGACAATGATCTTGATAAAAAAAATGCACGAAAACCTTCACGCCACAATGATATTACTATTAGAATTATGAACCTAATCAATGAGCATCGAATTATATAAAGTGCATACTTGTCAGTTGATTATACGTATAGATATGTATATATAAAAAGAGACACGAAAAAAAAAATCAAAACTAAGATAGATGTTATTGACAAAAATTCTATTAATAATAATAATAGTCTCGAATAGATATTGTCTTATCAGTGTCTCGTCTATTAGTATTTAGTGCGAAAAGAGGCTTGTATTCAACACTACCTACAAAACCCGTTTGAGAAAAACGATATGTACTTGATTATTCTCGAAGATTCAATATATACGAAATAAAAAGTTTTTTACAACAAGGAAGAAAAAGGAAATATGAACTCGGTAAAGAATTTTTTTCGCTGAAGTATAGATAAAAAACGTTAAATTGTCGTGACGACAGTAATAATAAAATAACAATTGAGAGAGAATACATACTTAGCTATAATTTTTATTCAGTACACTTCTGTTGTATTGATCATTATTCTTTTTTTATTAAGAAAAAAGGCGGGGAACAGTGAATGGACGTCATAAATGAAGGACAAATAAATAAATAAGACGAAAAAAAAAAGTGAATTTTTCTAATTGGATAAAATCCTATCGAATAAGGCGAAACCTTCTTTTTGCATTACTGTGTTAATAATGATAGGAAAAACATTTGTCATGTGCTTCATCCCATAGATACTATACGATTAATTGCTTGTTTAGGGATTTTTATGCTTGATAGTAATATAATGAATAATAATGACGAAATCAATGTTGATGTCAAGTGTATAGAAGATTTACCTGAAGAAATTTTATTACGTATTTTTCGTTATCTTCCACCATATGAGTAAGATAAATATTTTGATTATAAGAAAAGACCAGAAAGTTTATTTAATTATTCTTCTTAAAGAGATTATGCATCTATTCGACTTGTTTGTCGACAATGGGAAAGACTTTGGCGTGAAATAAAAACATGGCGTAGAGATACATTTCATAATAATTTATCATTATCAACAGCACCAGTATCAATTCATTGGCATTCAATTGATCCGCCAACTAAATTTAATTTAACACCACGATTTTCACATTCTGTTTGTTATGTTGATTCTAAACGAATGTTATATGTATTTGGTGGTAGTCGAGATATGGCTACATCACTTAATGATTTTTGGCGTTTAGATTTATCAACACGAAGGTTCGTTTTTTTCTAAATATTTATCTGTTTTTATTTTTCTTATTATAGTTGGGAAAGAATTTTAGCAACTGGAAGATATCCACCACCAAAATCTTCAGCAACATTTATCGATGATGAAAATGGAAATTTAATACTATTTGGTGGTCGTTCAATGATTTATATAGATGATATACATATTCGAGAACAACTTCATAGTGAATTACATTCATATTCATTTGAAAGAAATTCTTGGAGTTTACATGATAATTTAAATGAACCTGGACCGATTTGTGATCATAGTGCATCTATGATTAATGTAAATAATCAAAAACGAATGATTGTATTTGGTGGAAATACTGGAACAAGAGAACAACCATCACCATTACAACGAACAAATGATTTATGGCAATGGACAGATATTCATACGAATACATGGACAATGATTCAAGTTGATGGTATTCGACCAGAACCAAGAAAAGGTTATTTTTAAATAGAAAATTATATCTTAAATAAGTATATTATTTTTTTTAGGTCATTCTCAATTTACCTTAAATTCTGAAAATATTTTCATTGTTGGTGGTTCATCGTCAACACGTTTTTGTCATGATGTATGGCTTTTTTCATTTCAAACAAATCAATGGACACAGATTCCAGTTAATAATCCACATCCACATGATTTTGCACCTAATAATGATGATTCACCATATTGTATGGCTATTCCATCATGTATATTAGTAACATTTGGTCGAATAAAACGACATCCAACTGAAAATGAACGCAACATGTATAGTCAATATGATTTTTCTCATTGTGATAAAAAATCTCGTGAAGAATTAAGTCTTCCTCCAAGTAGTTCAAGTGATGAAAGTGATGAAAAAACTCGTTACTCCGTAACAACACATAAACGATCAATAATTCCATCTTCAATAAAAACTAAATATAATATGATAGAAATATCAGGTGGTTTTCAAATCTATCGACTTGATCTATCAAATATATTTTCATTAAATCCTTGTGTAACATGGTTACCATCAAAATGTACATCTGTATTTGGTAGTCCAACACATTCATCACTTTATTATTCTTTAATATGTGCTCGAAGTGAATTGATTCTCTTCGGTGGTGTAGAAAAACGAAAATTACATTTACAAAAAAAATTATCGGAAAATGATATTCGATATCAATCGATATCCGGCACACTTGCTTTTATTACAATATCAAATATTCCTCTTTAGAATATTTTATTTATTTCTAGATAGAAAAAAAAAATTATGCGTTGGGAATTTAAAGTCGAAAATCCTTATGAACAACGTCGGGCTGAAGGTATAAACATACTGTTTGCTTATTTTTTCTATTATAATAAAATATTTTTTAGGCGAACGTATTCGTCGAGAATATCCTGATCGATGTGCAGTTATAGTTGAACGTGCTCCTAATTCACATGCACCAGAACTTTTAACTAAAAAATATTTAGTTCCAAGTGATCTTACAGTAATCATTTTTTTTCTTGTTATAAAATATTTCTGATGATATATATATATAGGTTGGTCAATTTTATTTTCTTATTCGTAAACGTGTCAAACTTCGACCAGAAGATGCACTCTTTTTCTTTATTAATAATGTAAGAAATTATATTAATATAGAAATAAAAGAATTTAATTTTTTCTTCTTGATAGACGATACCAAATACATCAATGACAATGGGTTCTCTCTATCAAGAACATGTTTGTTAATTTAACTAGAAATTTATATTTATATATGCTTATTATTATTTTAGGCGGATGAAGATAAATTTCTTTATGTTGCTTACAGTGATGAATCAACATATGGTTAAAGCGACATTAATTTAACATTGTACTATAAAAAATTCTTTTTTCTTTTCCATTAATTAAGATTAAAACCGGTCGAACTTTTTCTTTTGTATATGTATACTCTTCCTTGAACTTTGTATAATTTTTTTTTCTTTATTACCTATACTGAATATATTTACTCGAGAATATTAGCTCATAAGATATGCAACAAGCTTCTTTTTCAATATGATAATTAAAACTAAGGATTTGCGAAGAACAAAATATAATTGCTATTGATAAAAATGTCAATTTCGGTCTAGTCTGCGATATGCTATTCATATTTTTTCAATATTGGTATTATAATCATAATTATATACGAATGTAGTACTGTTTTCATAAGATGGCAAAACAATCATCTGTATTGCAAAAATATTTATTAACGTAATAGAGTATGTATGTGTCATGTATAGAAAGATGACATTTGACGCAATGCTGTTTCTAGACTAGAATGATATATTCAGTTTTGTCGTATTATGGCAATGCAAATATAAATAAAATGTAAAGAATATTTTAATAAAAAGTAAAAACTATTCAGAATCAAAGAACTAAATAAATATGAATGACAAATTATGAAGAATGTTCTAATTCTAATAATTATATGTATATATCGTTTGTGTAAATAAATAAAATTGAATTAGTTTTATAATTTCACATTTTTTGTGAGTAAATGTTTGATGATGGCTTATCAGCAATGATCACTGTTGGTTGTGGAGATAAATTGTAGACAGGTAATGAAAAAAAGGAATTTTCACCACGCTTTAATAAACTTGCAAAAGCTGCATACCAAGCAATTGATGCTGTTAAAATTCCACATGCACCTGCTGCACGTTGTAAATTCTTATCATTTTGAAGAAATTTACATGTTGTCAGTAAAATAAAAGTGATTGTTAGAAAAAAGAATAAAGCCACCAATGCTAAATTTGTTCGAAGAGATGCAATAAACATAGCTGCTGTAAAGATTGCCCATGCAAGGAAAAAAATTCCAAGTGCCTTATCTGCTACTGATGGATCAGCTGAATATTCACCTAGAAAACCAAAACTGTCAATAGATAATGAAGCAAGACCAAGCCAGAAACCACCATAGGAACAAAAAGCAAGTGCACCGAAATTATTTCCTATGCGAAATTCAAGTAAACCAGCAAGAAGTTGAATTAAACCACCATAGAAAAGAGCAAGACCCATAACAACGCCATGTGGAGCCTCAACAGGAACAATTGCACCTGCATTGTACATTGAAAGAATAAATGTTGTTAATGCAAAAGCACAAAGACCAAGTGGTGTTGGATTAAAAGGTACTGATGGTGATGATCGTGATGGATACAATTTCATTAAACGTTCAAATTCAAGAAATCGTTCGTATGATGTACGTGTTTCAATATTAATAGTTTCATAGGTTTGCTGTTGCTTACGATATTGATGCGACATATTTCTTCTATAAGATTACCACAAAAAATGTTCGAATAAAAAATAATATAAAACTATTCGTATCAAATAGCTTACGATAAAGAACTTATATATTACAATTTATAGTCAATAAGATAATCACAGATATAATAAAAAAAATAGTTATCAATGATCAACAAGATTTATGTGAAGTATATAGAATAAAAATACTAATGTGCATACATAATATAAAAACCAATAAATATGTACGGCAATAAATGGATCATAAACTGGATTAAAAAGATTGCTTACCCAGTGAAAAATTGTCAAAGTATATCTCATTATGTCAGATTATAATCGATTGAAATCTTTCAAATCAACAATAATTCGATTTTAATCAGAAAATAAACGTCTAAATCAAATATAATTTTGATTCAAATCATGTAGTTCTGATAAAAAATATAGCCAATCAAGTTTTTATGGTTTTAATCAAAAGTATCGTTGATTTGAAAGCTTTCAATCGATTATAATCTTACATAATGAGGTATAATTTGACAAATTTTCGCTGAGATAAGAGTCAAAATTGATTTCTACTATCTTTCTCTCCCATATTTTACTTTTTAATTTCTTATCGATTGAATTATGTTTTAAGATACGAGTGACAACACAACTTGATGTAAGTATGGCTGTTCACTCTATTTATTTTTGATAAAGGTTTTATTTATTTCTTATGACGAATTCGCCATTAGGCGCTGACCGTCTTATCACAAACTGAGCTTTAAGAAAAACATCGGCAACAGGAGAGAGAAGAAAGTATAAAAGAAAATTAACAACTCTAGAAATACTAATCTGTTGTATAATAAAAAAAAAGAAAGTACCTCCTCATCGAGGTATTTCATGACTTAACTAAAGACAAAACCGCGTAGGCGATCAAAATAGGCTGTTCACTCTATCTACCAACACTCTCGATCATATTCATCCTGTTGATCGCTAATATATAAAAACTGCATTTGATTCTTGATGAAATTATACTGATCGTATATATCTTTATTTTCAATATCTATATTTAGCAACAAGATAATAAAATATACCCTTCATTTTCAATAACAACCGCATTCGTAAACTTTGACATTTTTTTTATATGGACATACTTAGATTATTCGTTTTACTGATAATAATCTATTCTACAATGAATAAGTAGTACGAATTTTACAGCTTTAATATTCTTAATATTATATATATATATACATATATTTATTGAAGCATAACAGTTAAATAAATAATGACTTTGAATGATAGCAAAAAAAGAATAAGTCTAAGTAACTTTGTTACTCTGATAAGCAACAATGCTTTTATCTGTTATAAATAAATATTAGATAATAATTTTTATTCATTTTTTTCTTACTTAAAAATGCATTTATTTACTTATTGTATCCTATTGTTGTATATTATTAATTACACGTATGGTTCTTATTCAATTTATGTTGTTCCTTCTTTGTCAATATCAAATAATGAAGAAACTGGTACATTGGAAAATCCATTTTCAACAATTGAACAAGCTCGTAATTATCTTCGTACAATATTTCGATTATCAAAATATCGAATAGCTCTTTATTCTACATATCATTTTTTAAAAAATCATACTTTATCATTTGATGAACATGATCATTTAATAACATTTACAAAAATGTCTGATAATGAACGAAATCAAATTCAATTAGAACGAAAACAAAATATAATTGAATTAGATTTTCCAATAATTAGTGGTGGTATTCGTTTAACAGACTGGATCAATGATCAAGGAGTAAATAATAGAAATTTATGATGAAAAAACTTATTTTTTCGATTTAGATCTGGCGTATTCGTATACCTGATTCTCTACCGGCAGTAACACAATTGTTTGTTGATGGTCATCGTGCTATACGAAGTCGTTTACCAACAAATGGATATTTTAATTATGAAAAAGGACTTGATAATAGTACACAACTTGCTTATCAAGGTTTTATCTATCATGAACATCAATTCGATAATATAACACTTAGTTCAATATCTACAAGTGAATTTATTATTTATCATTCATATACAACATCACGTCATTATTTTTCACAAAATTTTTCACAAAATCGTACAATACTTTTTTCTAATCCATCTTTATCCGTTATTGGTAATACATCGATTATTCAAGAATCAGGTCAACGTTTTCATCTTGAAAATATCTATGAAGGTATGATAAATCAAGAAGGTTCCTTTTATTTTGATTCAATAGAACATTTATTATATTATCATGCACGAAAAACTGAAAATCCACAAACAACTATTGTTATTTTACCTATTGCTGAAAAAATTCTCTCAATAGTAAATGTCAAAAAAATGGAATGGAATTCTATTGGATTTCAACATAGTGCATGGATAGAATCAAATAAAACGATTCCTATCGATGGACGAGCAGCAGTAGATTATTTAGATCAATCCATAGTTGCTATTTATATACATAATTCCAGTGAAATAAAATTAGATAATATTGAAATTTCACATATTGCTGGTTATGCAATACAAATTGATAGAAAATGTGAAGAGATTAATATCGTAAATAGTCAAATGTATGATTTAGGAGCTGGTGGAATACGTATAGGAATAGATGAGAAAATAAAATATAATAATGAACAATGGATACAAAATATAATTATAGAAAATTGTACATTGTATGATAGTGGTCATTTATTTCCAATGGGTGTTGGTATTCTTTTACAACGTGAAACAAGAAATATTTTAATAAGAGAAAATACACTTTATCAATTTTTCCATACTGCTATTCAAATTGGTTGGTCATGGTAAGACTTTTCTTTTGGTTTCTAAAAGTGATTAGATAATATTTGTTTTTTTCAGGAGTTATGAAGAAAGTTTATGTTATAATCATACGATATCTTTTAATTATATTCATCATATTGGTCAATATTTATTAAGTGATCTTGGTGGAATTTATACATGCGGTATTTTAAATGATACGTTGATTTTAAATAATGTTATACATAATATTTATGGATATTTTCTACATGATTGGGGAATTTATTTAGCTGATGGAACTTCACAAGTAATAATAAGTAATACAATTGTTTATAATACAGGTTCAGCTGGTCTTACTATGATTTATGGTTTTAATAATACATTTGAAAATAATATACTTGCTCGAGTGAGTAATGAAAGTGATGGTGCACTTTCATTATATCGTCGGGAATCAATTGATCATTTATCATTTACATTTCGACATAATATTATTTATGATATTGTTAATGAGAGTGGACGTTGGATATTTCAAGTTCAAGCACCTGATCCATTTTCAGCACCATATGTTATTATGAATTATAATTGTTATTTTAATTTATATGGTAATATGTTTATTTTTGGTCTTGGAAGACTTGTTTTTAGTGAATGGCAAGAAACAAATCATGATATGAATAGTTTAATATCAGATCCATTATTTGTTAATGCTGAAAGTCAATGTAATTTCTTTGCATTGAATAACAATAGTCCGGCTATCGAAAATCTAGGTTTTAAACCTATTATGCAATTGACTCAATGGAAATCAGGATGTTAAAATCAACTATTTTTTTCTCTATTAATGTTTTTTATTATAAATGAAAATATTTTCGACAAGAGAACTGACTTCTATTGAATTGCATTTTCTTTTTTTTTCTTTCTTCTATCGTTTAGGGGTCAAGAACATATCGAGAGAATGTGATGAGGAATAATAAGTACATTCTATAGAAGAAATGTGTTTCATCTAAAGTTAAATATCTAAGTTAAAACAAAAGCTTGTTTAAGACCATAGAATGAATACAAACGATCTGTTTAGTCTATTCTGTCGACTAAAAAATCATTTTTTGTGATCAACATGTTTCCAGGCCCGTCTAAGAAGAACATTCTTTTGTAGAATATATTGTTGGGACTAGACAGCTACTGCATGTTGGATAGTAATGGTTCAAAAATAAACGTTTTAGTCGAAAATTTCTAATGTACATACATTCGTTATATAATTCATTCAATGTAAGTTTATAATTTTATACATACTAATTTCTATATATGTAGAAGATACTGTTTGAAAATAAATTTTGTTGTGTCACTATATAGACTAGAAGAAAGCAAACCGATGTATAGTCTTCTTTGGTTTATTTCTATGTAAACAACTGAGAAAGTATCTATAAATTATATTCTTCTTACTTCTAGTAATTAAAATCTTGAAGAATTAGTTTGCCTTATCACACTCCTATAGAAATAGTTTAGTTACCAGATTTGATATCACAATGCTTTACATAAGAATAGCAGATCTCTAGCTCAAGTCCAAGAATCACTGCCAGTGTACTGTATTTTGACTTATGAAGTAGATTAGAGCAAAATATAGTATAAAAAATGAATATATATATCATTAATAATTTCTCTCTTGTATTATACTGTTTCGAATAGTATGTCATATAGTTTTGTGTCACTGTTAAGATTAATACCGTTTAAACTTATGTAATTAATTAATCATGTATATTTTTAGTTCGAAATGAAACAGAAGATAGTATCGATTGAATAAGTAAAGTTTTTCGCTGACTCATATTGAATACATACAGGAAAGAAAAAGGTGAAAAGTAACGTTCTCAGTAGTTTTCTTTTCTTACGAATCAATTGCGCTTTACACAAGTAATTAGATCAAAACAATTCTTTTATAAAAATGTAACATGATTCCATTGCCCAAATAATGACAAGATATATTTTGTAATGCAAATTGTTGTTTTTCAATTTTAGATATAAATTTCTAAGGTTTATTACTTGTCATGAGTAAAACAATTCCACAACCTCCAGAAACATTTCTTATTGGTAATTTAAAAGATGTTGATGCAGATCATTTTTTGGAATCATTACAACGACTTCAAAAACTTTATGGTGAAATTTTTCGAATAAATATTCTTGGACAAAGTATTATAGTTGTTGCTAGTCAAGAATTGGTTAATTTTGTATGTGATGAAAATAAATTTGATAAAAAAGTTAGTGTAGCTCTACAAGAACTAAGAGCATTAATCGGTGATGGACTTTTTAGTGCACATACATCAGAACCAAATTGGAAACTTGCTCATAAAATTTTAATGCCTGCTTTTGGACCACAAGCAATTCGAGATATGTTTCCAGCTATGATGGATATATCTTCTCAACTTATTCTTCGATGGGAACGTTTTTCTGGTGAAGAAATTGATGTTTGTGATAATTTTACTCGTTTGGCTTTGGATACAATTGCTTTATGTAGTTTTAATTATCGATTTAATAGTTTTTATCAAAACAAAATGCATCATTTCGTTGATGCTATGGTTAATGTTCTTGTTGAAAGTGGTAGACGTTCACAACGATTATCATTACAAAATACATTAATGATTAATAAAGCACGACAATACAAGGATGATATATCATATTGCCATAAATTATGTGATGAAATTGTTCAAGAACGACGTAAAAATCCAAATGATGTTAATGATTTACTTAATCGTATGATTAATGGAAAAGATCCTGATACTGGTTATCAATTATCTGATGAAAATATTCGTTATCAAATGGTTACATTTTTAATTGCTGGACATGAAACAACTTCAGGACTTCTTTCATTTACATTTTATTATCTTCTAAAAAATCCACATGTCTTACAAAAAGCACAAGCAGAAATTGATCAATATGATGAAATTACAGTTCATACATTAAATAAATTAAAATATATTGATGCTATATTAAAAGAAACACTTCGATTACAAGCTACAGCACCAGGATTCAGTTTACAAACAAAAGAAGATGCAACTACTTTACCTGGTGGTTATGAAGTTAATAAAGATGACATTATTTTAGTTCTCTTAGCTCAATTACATCGTGATCCAAAAGTATGGGATCAACCCAATGAATTTATTCCAGAACGAATGTTAAATGGTGGATATGAAAATCTTCCACCAAACTCATGGAAACCATTCGGTAATGGTCAACGTGGTTGTATTGGTCGACCATTTGCATGGCAAGAAAGTCTTCTTGCTGTTGCACTTATACTTAAACATTTTACTATTGAATTTGTTGATCCATCCTATGATCTTCGTGTTAAACAAACATTAACAATCAAACCAGATGGTTTTAAAATACGAGTTCGACCACGTCGATCAGTTAATATTTCATTAGCACCACATGTTAAACAATCAGAAAAACTTCCTGAACAAATATCAAAAACAATTATAAATAAAAATACGAATCTTCAATCAATGACTATTCTTTATGGTAGTAATTCTGGTTCATGTGAATCATTTGCAGGAACTTTAGCATCTGAAGCACCACTCTATGGTTATAATGCAACAGTAGCTACACTTGATTCCGCTGTTCAATCTCTTCCAAATGATCAACCTATTATTATAATTACAGCAACATACGAAGGTAGACCATGTGATAATGCAAAACAATTTGTTGCTTATCTTGAATCAAAACCAAAATTAGAAATCAATTATGCTGTATTTGGCGCTGGTCATCATGATTGGGTAAATACATATCAAAAGATTCCGACTTATATTGATGAATTAATTGAAAAAGCTGGTGGTAAAAGACTTATTGAACGTGGTGCTGGTGATGCTGCTGGTGATTTTTATGGTGCATTTGAAAGTTGGAAAGAAAATCTTTTTAAAATTTTACGAAAAGATACAAATGATGAACAACATGTTATTAGTGAAGAAAAACTTTCTATTGAATTTGTTAATTCAACACGACAATTTGGACAAATAACAGATTTTGGAATTGTTTTACAAAATAAAATCCTAGTTCAAGCAAGTGAAATTGATCCTATGAAACGACATCTTGAAATTAAACTTCCAAAAGGACAAACATATCGTTCGGGAGATTATCTTGCTGTATTACCAACAAATCCAACTGAAATGGTTGATCGTGTACTTAAACGATTTAATTTATCGAATGATACTCATATTAAAATAGTTTCATCTACAGATACATTTTTTCCAACAAATTATCCAGTTAATGTAGTAAATATTTTAAGTGGTTATGTTGAATTAGCTCAACCAATTAGTAAAAAACAACTTGAAACACTTGCTGATCTATGTCATAATGAAGAAGAAAAAATTAAAATTTTAAAACTTACTGGAGATATTTATGAAAAAGAAATTCTTGATAAACGTATTCATATCTTAGATATTCTTGAATTATATTCATCATGTGAACTTACATTTGCACAATATTTACGTATGCTTCCATCACTTCGTATTCGTCAATATAGTATTTCTTCGTCGCCTTTATGGAATGCTGAAGTTGTAACATTAACAATTGATATTCTTACTGCTCCAGCATTGAGTGGACTTGGACAACATTATGGTGTTGCATCGAATTATCTTGCAAATCTTAGAGAAGGTGATCATATTAGTTGTAGTGTTCGAGCAAGTAATGTGAAATTTCATCCACCAGAAGATACAAAAGTACCAATTGTTATGATTGCTGCTGGAACTGGTATTGCACCATTTCGTGGTTTTATTCAAGAACGAGCAGCACAATACGTTTGTGGAAGAGATATTGGACCTACAATTCTTTATTATGGTTGTCGATTAGATAATGATTTCTTATATTCCAGTGAACTTGATAAATGGTCGAAACTTGGTGCAGTTGAAATTAAATCTGTTTTTTCTCGACAAGGAAATAATGATAAAAAATATGTTCAAGATTTACT